CATATTATCTTCCAGTGCAGTCGCTTCACCCATTCTGCTGCGAGTCCCCCCCCCCCCCACATCAAATCAGTGGTTGCCAATCTTTTTGGGCCCATGGGAACATTTAGAATTCTGGAAAAATGCATTGGGCTCCAGTCACAAAATGGCTGCAATGGCAGCATGGCATAGCACAAGGTTGTGGCCTCATCTAAGAGAATGGAAAAAGAGTCGGGTATACAAAACTGTGCCAACATGGAAAATTAAACTTAAAAAAAAAATGTTGGAAACTTGTAAAGACCAAACAGATTCCAGGAATCTATTTTTCCAAATATTGCGAAATCTTTTCTGTAGTGTTTCCTGTTGCTAATGGAGTGGGTGTCATAGATTAGAACTAGAAAATGAATGAATAAACCATAATTTGAAATTATTCTTGAACCCATCACAGCACAGTGACAAATAAAAAAGATGTAATTAATGCTGGCTCACTAGTATTCGTGCCACAAACACACGCACATTCTTCCAGTCTTCAGGCAAACATTGCTACTAGAGTGACCATACAGATCATTAACAAGAAAGACAGTTACTGCCTCTAGGCTTACAATCTGAAAAGACATGGCACAGAAAAAAATGGGTTGGGAATAAGGAGGAAATAAGCAAATACTTACAAAAATATGGAACACAGGGTAGAAAAAGCAGCTCAATAGAAACAGCACACCAGAGAGCCAGTGAGGTGTAGTGGTTAAGAGTGGTGGACTTGTAATCTGGTGAACCGGGTTCGCTTCTCCGCTCCTCCACATGCAGCTGCTGGGTGACCTTGGGCTAGTCACACTTCTTTGAAGTCTCTCAGCCCCACTCACCTCACAGAGTGTTTGTTGTGGGGGAGGAAGGGAAAGGAGAATGTTAGCTGCTTTGAGACTCCTTCGGGTAGTGATAAAGCGGGATATCAAATCCAAACTCTTCTTCTTCTTCAGAGTAGCGATTGGAAAACACTGTCCAAAACTAGTATTGTGATTGAGGCTGAAAATAATCTGCAAGGTGCAGAGGGGCAAAGCATTATTTCAAGTTTGGGGAAAAGTCAGTTAACAAAGAGAAAGACTGTCGTGCAGGGATCAACCTTCACCCTAACACACACACACACACACACACACACACAGAGAGAGAGAGAGAGACAGAGAGAGAGAGAGACAGGCAGGGAGAGAGAGAGCTCTTTACTGATGAAGATGTACAAGGTGGGGCATAAAAATTGGCCTCTGTGTCCCAGAGAAACTCAGAAGTTGATGAACTATAACCCCTTCATCCACAGTGCTCTTTTTGTAGAAAAACGCCTCACCATGAAGGCCTCCCCTGTTCTCTGATAATGGCAATGGTGCCTACCTGAGAGGTGCCAGAACTCAGTTCTGGCGATTTTCAGCTGAAAAAAAGTCCTGATCACCCATGACCCTTGGGAGTTGTAGACCATCAACATTCAGAGAGCAACACATTGGTTACCCCTGTACTTGATAATTCTGTGTTTAATAACATTTCCCACAAGTCCCACCACCATCCGAACAGACCTTAAGCTAACTGGCCTATAATTTCCCAGATCCCCTGTGGATCCCTTAAAATAAAATAAAAAACAACAACTGGTGTTAACACTCTGGAGTAGTTATTCACTGACAATATGAAATTCTCAACCCAGGTTTGCAGGGTTTATGTCTGAAGCTGCAGTTCACGTGGCTATTTCTGTAAACCAGGAAAGAGAAGAGATACTTATGAAGAAGTATGAGTTGGCCCTTAACTCCAGTAAGAGATGGGCTGCAGCAAGGGATGAATTAGATCAGCCTTCGCCACCCTGGTGCCCTTCTAATCTTTTGGACTACAACTCCCAACAACCCTAGCCAACTCAGCTGTATGATCCTGAGACTGATAGGAGTATGGCTGTGCTGGCTGGGATTCATGGGATGTGGAGTCCAAAACATCTGGAAGGTGTTGTTGTTCAGTCGTTTAGTCGTGTCCGACTCTTCGTGACCCCCTGGACCAGAGCACGCCAGGCACTCCTGTCTTCCACTGCCTCCCGCAGTTTGGTCAAACTCATGCTGGTAGCTTCGAGAACACTATCCAACCATCTCATCCTCTGTCGTCTCCTTCTCCTTGTGCCCTCAATCTTTCCCAGCATCAGGGTCTTTTCCAAGGAGTCTTCTCGTCTCATGAGGTGGCCAAAGTATTGGAGCCTCAGCTTCACGATCTGTCCTTCCAGTGAGCACTCAGGGCTGATTTCCTTCAGAATGGATAGGTTTGATCTTCTTGCAGTCCATGGGACTCTCAAGAGTCTCTTCCAGCACCATAATTCAAAAGCATCAATTCTTCGGTGATCAGCCTTCTTTATGGTCCAGCTCTCACTTCCCTACATCACTACTGGGAAAACCATGGCTTTAACTATACAGACCTTTGTTGGCAAGGTGATGTCTCTGCTTTTTAAGATGCTGTCTAGGTTTGTCACTGCTTTTCTCCCAAGAAGCAGGCGTCTTTTAATTTTGTGACTGCTGTCACCATCTGCAGTGATCATGGATCCCAAGAGAGTAAAATCTCTCACTGCCTCCATTGCTTCCCCTTCTATTTGCCAGGAGGTCATGATCTGGAAGGGAGGAGGTTCGTTTAGATTCGTTTATTCAGTTGTTGCATTTCAGTCCCGCCTTTTCCTCCAAGAAGCTCTAGGTGGCGTCCATGATTCTCCCCCTTCTCATTTAATTCCTGCAACTTTGTGAGGTAGATTAGGCTGAGGGGTGGTGACTGGCTCAAGGTGGCCCAGTGGCCATTTGACCCTGATCTCCCAGGTCCTAGTAAAAGCAGTTTGCTATGCAACTCTCTTCCAGGACACAGGCTTCCACATGAATTAACTTCAGATTGCTTGGGCCAGAAAAATGCCAAAGGTTGGTTCGTTGTGGCTTTTAATTTAATTTTTAAAAAACACTTCTGTATTGATTTTGGTGTGCTTATGATACTCAGACGACAATGCAGATGATTTAATTGTGACTGGATCCAACTGCTCACCCTTAGCAGCCTTTTCCAAAGCCGACCTGATGCACCACTGTGTTGCTTCGGTTGTGTAAAAATAAAGAAAGAAACCTCCTCTTAACGCGTGTGTTCCCAATTTTCAAAAACAATAGAAATAAAATCAGGAACAAGTCAATAATAAAGCAACAGCAACAAAGCAATCCTGTTCTAATTCACATGCTAATTATGCAGCTCTCTAGTGTCCCGAGGATTTGCAAAGAGAGAGAGAGAAAGAGAGAGAAGGTGCAATTTGCAGTCCAGTTGCAAGCGCGGCACTCTCGGGTTTAAGCTGGTTCCCTCCGCGGATTTCCACGGGCAGCAGCCAAGCTCGACTCTGCGAGGCGCTCGCTATCTTGCGCCGCCTGGAGCTGAGGATCCGCGTCTGCCAATGGCGCTGCTGCCCAAGTCAACATTTTAAGCTGCCTTGTAAGGATCAAAGCGCTAACAGCAGGAGCACCATCCGAGCTGCTCCATATACATAAATTAATTACCTGAAATAAATGCTCTTTCTCTCGGCTGGAAGACAACAAAAAAGAGCAGGGAAGCAGGGAGCGGGAGGAAACACAAAGCGGGTTGAGAAGAGATGCTGAGAAACCGAAAGGGGGCCGGAGAGCAAATTGTGGCTGCAGCTGGGCTACAGCTGCCTCATCCAAGCAAAGCGGAGGGGGGGGGGGAGGGAATCCCCACAATAACCCGGAAGAGCCAGTCTCCCCCAGCTTTTTAAAAAAATCTTATCTCTTTCCTCCTCAGCCCCGCCAAGAAGAAGCCCAATGAATTAGATGAGATCATGTTAATATTAATATTTATTGCTATTAATAATACAAACAGGCATGCTTATGATTAACGGTGCTGTTATTAATTAATTAATAAGTAATTATAATTATTAAATAGTTATTAAATTAAATTATTATTAAATAGTTTTTAAATTAAATTATTATTAAATAGTTATTAAATTAAATTATTATTAAATAGTTAATAATTAAATAATACAAACTAGCATTATTAATTAATTAATAATGCTAGTTCATATTATTTAATGACATGTGATATTACCCTATACAGTATTGGCGTTGATAAGAACAAAACTATTTATTATTAATTGTGGAATAATTTTATTTATTACTTTTTAAACATATTATTATTATTATTATTATTATTATTATTAGGAATAAATAATAAACAGCATTATTGGTAATAATTATTACCAATATTATTACCAATTATTACCAAACAACAACATTCACACACACAAACACACACACACACACACACACACCCTTTTTCTGAATACCAGTTGCTGGAAACTGCAGGAGTGCTGTTGCTCTCAGATCCTGCTTCTGGTGTCCCATGGGCAACTGGGCTGACTCAGCAGGCTCTTCTTAAGTTCTTAAGATGGTACTGTAAATGCATTAAAGGAAATCTGTGTCGGCTTGCCATATGTCAGGGAAATTCCTGACATCTCCTGGTTTCCAGGTGTAAAAATGGCATGGGGGGGATTTTGCCAAGCCAGCAAAATGTCAGGGAAAACCTGGATGTATGGCAATGCGATGGAAAAAGCAGCCGAAACAGCTCCAAAAGCTATTCTGGGGGAAGGTTTTCCCATAAAAGTTCAACTTTGCAGGTGTCAGGAATTTTACTTTTTGAAATATGGCAACCCTAAAACTCTGTGAGGAAACTCTTGAGAGTCCCATGGACTGTAAGAAGAACAAACCTATCCATTCTTAAGGCAATCAGCCCTGAGTGCTCACTGGAAGGACAGATCGTGAAGCTGAGGCTCCAATATTTTGGCCACCTCATGAGAAGAGAAGACTTCCTGGAAAAGACCCTGATGTTGGGAAAGATGGAGGGCACAAGGAGAAGGGGATGAGAGAGGACGAGGTGGTTGGACAGTGTTCTCGAAGCTACCAGCATGAGTTTGACCAAACTGTGGGAGGCAGTGGAACACAGGAGTGCCTGGTGTGCTCTGGTCCATGTGGTCACGAAGAGTCGGACACGACTAAACAACAAAAACTCTGTGATTTCTTCCTTAAACCTAAATTTGACCCAAGCCAAGGCTCAGCATGATTCTTTCTTTCTTTCTTTCTTTCTTTCTTTCTTTCTTTCTTTCTTTCTCATAGAATCAAAAGAATTGGAAGGGACCATGAGGGTTGTCTAGTCCAATCCCCAGCAATGCAGAAATCTTTCGCCCAGTGTGAGAACTTCTCTGTTCCTACCATTTCTGCCATGAAGTGGAAGAAAATGCTCAAAATAGCATGTGGTGGAAACTGTGGGGTTTGCTGCCAAAATCACAAATGCATGTTTTACTAGACAGGAACAGGGTTAGTACACAGAGTTTTTGAACTTCCTGGAGTGGACCCTCTGTATGTTGTCACTTCCTTTGCCTCCACTGGGTGGGAATTCTGTAACAAAGGAGACAATTCTTTATATTTCCTTCTGCCTGTGAGGAGATCCTGCTTTCAGCCATGTTAGCTAACACTACTAATTTATTTTATTGTAATTTATAACGTGGTTTGTTTGTTTTTGCACACTGCTGTATTTGCTGCCTGCATTGAAATGTAAGTAAACACCTTTCCTGTTTATCTTACTAAAAACATGTGGTTCATTCTCTGCGATGGAGTTGAAGAGGGGAAGGTCAACTGATTACATATATAGAAGGGGATAATTGCCTAATTCCTAAGCTTTAATAAACCCCCAAAATTATGTTTTACTCTGCTAAAATGCTTCACATCCAGATTACTTTTATATTTCTACCCCACACATGAAATAAGATTAATCTACAAAATTAATCCTCAATCTGTTTTTCCACATAAAGGTTATGGGCCCAGAGTAAAATCCCTGAGAGTACTTTTTTAATAATAATAATAACAAACAACTTTTATTTATATCCCGCCCTCCCCGGCTGAAGTCGGGCTCAGGGTGGCTAACATCAAATATATAACATTAGTATAAAATCAAACAATAATTAAATTACCTCCTAAAAACAGGTCAAAAGCAAATTAAAGTCTAATTAGATGGCTTTCCGCAGAGCTAGTTTTGGGAACAGTAGGTGCTTATAGGCTCAACTGTTTATGCTGATCTTATATGGCTCTGTGAGTATGCTGGGAGGCCTCTTTCATATTAGTTCTCATACAAAAAGAAAAGGGGAGTCAGGCTGAGCCCTGACCAAAGGCCTGGCGGAACAACTCCGTCTTGTAGGCCCTGTGGAAAGATGTCAAATCCCGCAGGGCCCTGATCTCTTGTGGCAGAGCGTTCCACCAGGCAGGGGCCAAGGCTGAAAAGGCCCTGGCCCTGGTCGAGGCCGCCTAATCTGAGGCCCGGGATCTCTCTAAGGTGTTATTATTTGTAGACCATAAGATCTTCCATGGGGCGTATCAGGAGAGGCGGTCCCATAGGTATGAGGGTCCTAGGCCGTGAAGGGCTTTAAAGGTTAAAACCAGCACCTTAAACCTGACCCTGTACTCCACTGGGAGCCAGTGCATCTGGTATAGCACTGAATGAATGTGATCCCGCGGCGAAGACACCGTAAGGAGTCTCGCCGCAGCATTCTGCACCCGCTGGAGTTTCTGGGTTTTTGAAGATTTCAAGTAACTTTTGAAGGATTACCTAAACAATTTTATTTTTTTTCTGTTTGAGTTTCCTGGTGTCCACATGGACCCATTGTTCCATTGTTAGAGGATGAGAGAAATCCCCTGCATTTAAGCAACCAAGTCAAAATAAGGGGAACAAAGAGAAGAACAATGTGAGGGGAATTCTGACCACTGTGAGAAAAAGATGGACCACTGGCCAGATCCAGGAGAACTATTGCTATATTCCTACGTTCTCCCCTTGGCAAGAGTTTGTCTAGAGATGGAGAGGAACTGTGGTCTGATTCAGCATAATTCTTCCTATGGTCTTCATAAAAAATTATGAAGTTCAGAAATCAGAACTCTCCCAGTCCAAGTGAAGTGGGAAGTCTGGAGTATGGAGGCAGTAATGCTTTTGAGTATCAGTTGCTGGAAACCACAGGAGGGGTGACTGCTCTTGTGCTCCAATCCAGTGGCCACTGTGAAAACAGGACGCTGGACTAGATGCATCATTGGCCTGACCCAGCAAGCTCTTCTTATATTCTTATCTTGCTATTATATTCTTATAATCTTATCTTGTTAATCATTATTTTAAAAATATATGATGCAGTTAGATTGAGGATTGAATCTGTAAATTACAATTTAAACCTCTTGTCCAATGTGTGTGGGAGAAATTTGAGAGTACAGTGGCTTCAGGTTGCATATGCTTCAGGTTAAAGACTCCACTAACCCAGAAATATTACCTCAGGTTAAGAACTTTGCTTCAGGATGAGAACAGAAATCGTGCTCCAGCAGTGCAGCGGCAGCAGGAGGCCCCATTAGCGAAAGTGGTGCTTCAGGTTAAGAACAGTTTCAGGTTAAGAACGGACCTCCGGAACGAATTAAGTACTTAACCCGAGGTACCACTATAATCAGGTTGTGAAGCCCTTTTCAGCAGAGTGAAAACACTCACAAGCTTCTGCAGCTTACTCGAAGCTAGGAATTAGGCAGTGCTTTTTTCTGGAGGGACGCATACCCCTAAACATTTTGTGAATCTTCATACTTTTGTCCATTTACTGTATTTATTTCCCCCGATTTGAACTATAAAATGGTGATTTTCTTGAGTCAAAATGAGAGTACCCCTAAACATTTTTTTAAGAAAGAAAAGCACTGGAATTAGACAATTACACCTTTTAATCCCTGTTTATTAGTGGTCTGCTGACCTTTTCCCTGTTTGTCCCCATTGCTAAAAATAAAGCACACATTTTAGTAAAAATAAAAAGGTTTACTTGCCTTAAATGAAGAAAGCTAATACTTCTAAGTAATATTCAGGTAAAAATGCTTCTTAGGTACAGAATACAAAATTAGTTTCCAAAATGGAGTCTGGACTCTAAGCAAAGCCCAGGTAGGTGGGTACATCTGCTGTCTTGAAAGAAAGGGAGAGTTCAGGCAGGCAGGAAGTACATAAGATTATTTCCTTTGTTAGAAATTCCCACCAAAGCATTAAGGAAGTAACCTCATACAGTCCCTTCTATATTGTTCAAGGAACTCTATGAGCATCAGCCCCTCATGTGCCTGTCTGGCAATCATGGATTACAGCGGTACCTCAGGTTAAGTACTTAATTCGTTCCGGAGGTCTGTTCTTAACCTGAAACTGTTCTTAACCTGAAGCACCACTTTAGCTAATGGGGCCTCCAGATGCCGCCGCGCCCCTGGAGCACGATTTCTGTTCTCATCCTGAAGCAAAGTTCTTAACCTGAGGTACTACTTCCGGGTTAGCGGAGTCTGTAACCTGAAGCATATGTAACCTGAAGCGTATGTAATCTGAGGTACCACTGTACTGATTTCAACTGGAAATCTCACAAAATAAGGGTTTTGCCCTGAGACTGTAAAAACCCAATAGTTCTTCCTAGATCACAAAAGCTGAGTGTTCTTAATTGAATATGAAATTAAACATTCATTGGGAGAAGAAGAAAATTAGCTGGAAGTCCTTATGGATTTTAAGGGAACCAGGAAGCAGGGATTCATTACAACCTATGAGAACAAAACTTCCATTGAGTCTAGCAGTTGTGGGTCAGGGCTCCATCTAAGTGTAGCATCATCAATGTACAGGGCACTTTATAGCACAATCATTCAAAGGGGTGGGAGTCTCTGCATAGGAACCTGTCTTACACTGAAGTCAGGCCACTGGTACATTGTAGCTCATTGTATTCTGCACTGTCTGGCAGTGACTTCCCAGGGTCCCAAACCTGGGTCTCTCTCAGCTCTCCCTGGAGATCCTGGCGATTGAGCCTGGGACTTGCTTTGATGAAAGCAGATGCTCATTGTGTCAGGGTCGAATTGTACAGGTTGAACATAAGAAGATCCTGCTGGATAAGGTCAATTGCCCATCTAGTCCTTAACTGTAAACTGCCCTATGATCTTCAGATTAAGGGTGGTATAGAAATATAATTAGTTTGCATGCACACGAAAGCTCATACCAATAACATTCCCCTTTTTAAACTCACAGCAGATACATTTGCTCAGGCTCGCTAAAGCCTCTATAATAACTGTTCTGGTAGTAAAGGTAAAGGGACCCCTGACCATTAGGTCCAGTCGTGACCGACTCTGGGGTTGCGGCGCTCATCTCGCTTTATTGGCCGAGGGAGGAACAGGCGGGTTTCCGCCCCGGAAGATCAACAACAGACCAAATCTTAATCCTAAATCATTTGGCCACCAAGTACGCTGGCAATGGCCTAAAAGCCCTCCACGTCGCCTTTATAGACTTTAAGCAGGCCTTTGATCTAATTCCCAGGAACCAGCTATGGACAAAATTGGCAGCGACATCTATCGACCGCCGCCTTCTCTTGCTGATTATTAATTTGCATACAAATACCCTCTTGAGGATTAGGATAGATAGTAAGGGGCTAGTCTCCAACCCGGTTGCCACCACTAGGGGGGTAAGACAGGGCTGTTTGCTTGCCCCTGCTCTGTTTAACTTCTATATAAATTCGCTAGTGGTGCATATGGCAAATGCTGATTTCCATCCACCAAAACTGGCAGGACGAGCCTTGAATGTCCTACTGTATGCGGACGATGCCGCCCTATTAGCTACCTCCCCATCGGATTAAGGAGGATGCTTCGAGCTCTTCATGAATATGAGACCCAACACGAGCTCCAATTAAATTATGCCAAGACCAAAATAATGGTCTTTGCTGCTCGACCGAAACCTAATTTATGGTCAATTAATGGTATTCCTTTAGAGCAGGTCAGTTGCTTCAAGTACCTGGGTCAGGTTGTAAGATCAAATAGGTCCTTCCTGGCGCACAGAGAATACATAGCCTCGAACGCATCCAAAGCAGCCCTGATGATTAGAACCCTGTACTCCAAGAAACAGGCACAAACTGTCAATGTTGCCTTACGTCTCTTTAAAATGAAAGTCCTCCCTCTTCTGCTGGTGGGCATTGCCTTGGGCTCACGTAGGGATTTTGAAAATTGGAATCTATCCAAACCCAATTCCTCAGGGCCATACTCAGGATCCCCCCCTCTGTGGCAGGTGCGATCATGAGGCTGGAAACTGGTTGTCAAGCCTTTAGGTATGTGGCCCTGAAAGCGAAGTTATGGCTATGGCTCAAGCTCTGTTTCAGACCGGTGGGTTTGGCCCCCTTGATTCTGAGGGATAACTTTAAATCTCCATGGGAAAGGGAGATAGTGGAGGAAGTGCAGAAGTGTGGGTTGTCCTCCCTTTATATAGAGTCCATGACGTATAGCCACGCAAAGGCGGTGATCGCGCAAAGATTAAGGGATATTGCCAGACAGGAGGACATAGCCCGTGTGAAACCTGGGTTGTTTCTGGGGAGCAGTTGTATCGGGCTGCCCCAGCTCGCTACCTGGCGGATATCCACTACGTGGAATACCGCAGACTATTTACTGCGGCTAGGCTGAATGTTCTTGACTCGGCGGTCCTGAAGGGAAGATATGGAGGAGTCCCATATGACCAGAGATTATGCCACTGTGCATTGGGTGAGGTAGAATCCACAGAGCACATTTTATTGAGCTGTCCCTTCTACAACGATTTAAGACAGTATCTTATAACTCCATACTTACCCCAGCTCAGTTCCCGACAAAGAGGAAAGCAGACAGCATATCTGCTAAATAAGTCTTCTGGGAAAACAACCTTGTCAGTGGCTAAATTTCTTTTCCTGGCACTCAAGTGTCGGAAACGTATAATTGAATGCTTTGACGTGGGTTATCTGTGAGAGATCTAGTACCGTGGCTCTACCTTACTTATGTACCTTATGTAACTTATGATGTTATAGTTTATAATTATTGTGTAATGTTTTAATTCTGACTATCGGTCGAATAAAGAAATTGATTGATTTATTGGCCGAGGGAGCTGGCGTACAGCTTCCGGGTCATGTGGCCAGCATGAAAAGCCGCTTCTGGCAAACCAGAGCAGTGCACGGAAACGCCGTTTACCCTCCCGCCGGAGGGGTACCTATTTATCTACTTGCACTTTGACGTGCTTTCGAACTGGTAGGTTGGCAGGAGCAGGGACTGAGCAATGGGAGCTCACCCCATCACGGGGATTCGAACCACTGACCTTCTGTCCTAGGCAAGTCCTAGGCTCTGTGGTTTAACCCACCGCACCACCTGCATCCCCTTATTCCCTCATAAAAGATAAGACACGACACAGTCTTCTATAAAAGTATAAAAAGAGTTTACTCACATTTTGTTCACAATCAGATCCCAGAAGGCAGACTTAACTTAGAAAAGTTACATACACCTGGAAACTATCTCATAAGGAGACACTCCCTTTGTCCTCTCTTGGCTGGAGACCAAGAGAGCATATTTGGCTAAGCAGATGTTGCTTCTTCTACGAAAATAGTCATAGAGAGAGAGAGATGGCTGTCCTGTCCTGTACTTTTGTTGCTACCTACACAGGTGAGGCCACGCCCACCTCTAGTCACATGCAGAGGAAGTCTGTCCCAGCCCAGAAGGAAACAGGAAGTTTACCTGCTGGCTGGACAAACATTCCTCCCCATGTGTAAACATGTTCACTCTAGAAATGTTGTACTTGACTGCTCTTGTGTTTCACCAGCGGCGTAGCGTGGGTTGTCAGCACCCGGGGCAAGGCAAGTAATTTGCGCCCCCTAACCCCTAACCTGCCACCGCTGCCAGCTTCTTCTTGCTGCTGCCTGGGCTGGGGTATTTACGGTAAGGTAGCCACGGCGGCGGCGGCGGGTCCGTGTCAGGTGATCTGAGGCGAGTTGCCGCTGGCGCTGCCGCCCAAACGACGCCGCTTGCCCGGAGGAGGAGAAGGGCAGAGAGGCGAGGAAAATGCAACATGGCCCAGCAGCTGCGGCCAGCTCGTTGGTTCCGCGAGACATGGGGCTCTGCTACAGCCTGCGCCTGAGGCTCTTCGGCGACTCCGGAGGCGGCGAGCACGCCCCCCCAGATGTTGCGCCCAGTGCGGCCGGCCCCCCCTGCACCCCCACGCTACGCCACTGTGTTTCACATCCCACATTTGCCCTAAAAAGGTTAAATGCATATGCCTCTAATGGTAGCCCATTAATGAAATCTCCTTGGCAGGGAGAGATTGGAAGCCGGAGAGGTTCTCTCTTCTCCCGCTCTTCGCTTCAGCGCCTTCCCTTCTGTGGGGTCTCAAGTGCATATTTCCCCTTATCTCTCGCTGAAGGCTGAGATGGCTAGAACTAGAATATAACTGGTTCCTCCTCTATTCCCTTTTCTTCGGAGAGTTGCTTCATACGCTCTGCAGTTGCAGACCTTACATCAGAGATGCAGGTGTGGGCTGAGGAGGCAGTCAGTGCCTCCAAATGCCAATTGCTGGGAATCCGAAGTGGGGCTGTTGCGCTCTCGTCCTGCTTGCGAGCTTCGCACAGGCATCTGGAAGGTCCCGGTGAGAAGATGCTGGACTAGATGGGCCACTGACAGAGATAGTATACAGTGGTACCTCGGGTTACATACGCTTCAGGTTACAGACACTTCAGGTTACAGACTCCGCTAACTCAGAAATAGTACCTCGGGTTAAGAACTTTGCTTCAGGATGAGAACAGAAATTCTGCAGCAGCGACGCAGCAGCAGCGGGAGGCCCCATTAGCTAAAGTGGTGCTTCAGGTTAAGAACAGTTTCAGGTTAAGAACGGACCTCCGGAATGAATTAAGTACTTAACCCAAGGTACCACTGTACACACACATTCAGAAAGTCCGCCTCGTTTTTCACCCAGATTTCAAGGTAATCCCTCATTTTCCTAAAAGTTTTTAGTAGTGGCGTCAGGGAAAGAGAAATGGAGTTGCACACACTCACTTTGCTTTGACAGCACCATCCTATACTTACTCAGAAGTAAGGCCCACTGAGTTAAATGTGGCTTGCTCCTAGGTAAATGGGAATGGGACTGCAGCCTTTGACCGCCTTCATGCTTATTGCCACACACACGTGCACAAATATGTGTATATACGCACACCTGTGCACACACAGATATACATACATATATAAAAAAAGATAAGACACTGAAAATATACATTTCAGTAGAAAATACTCGGGATTGAGGGGTCCATGGTGCTCTATTTATTCTCTTTTCCTCCCAGGTCTTCCTCCCAGTACCAGCGAGTGGAGTTTATCATAGCTTTGTTCAGCAGCGTTTATGGTTTTTATTGTACTTTACTGCCCTGTTGAGAACCGCCTTGAGATTTCTTCATTTTAAAAAAATGAAAGGCGATATTAAAGATATTTTGAATAAATAAAAAATTAATCATCATCATTTTTATTGACGAGGGTGCACCTGACAATTAGGCCTTGCCTGATTGTTTACAATCCAAAATCTGGCAGGTACACCGCAAATTCTCTTCCGTCCCGCTCGAGCTGACTTTCGCGTGCTGGTTATATTACCAAGGCCGTTTCTCCCCCATTTTTCTGATTCTAGATTCAGGTAGGTAGCCGTGTTGGTCTGACACAGTCGAAATAAAATAAAATAAAATAAAAAATTGCCCAGTTAGCACCTTATAGACCAACTAAGTTTGTTCTGGTATAAGCTTTCGTGTGCATGCACACTTCTTCAGATACCATTTCTCTGAGACACTGATGCCTGTTCACAAGCGATGTCCCAGTGGCTTCCCCGAGCAGCGAGCGACTCTTTCCCTTTGCCTACTCACAAGCGGAGGAGGTCAAACTATTCCAGGTCTCTCTCTCTCTCTCTCTCTCTCTCTCTCTCTCTCTCTCTCTCTCTCGCTCTCTCTGCATCCTCCATGCCACAAGCTGTCACTTTGGGTGGTCGTCCTTTCAGCCGTTATGCACGTGGACTTCGTTGCTGGCGGAGCCGAGCCTCGTCCCTGCCACTACCTTCCCTTTGTTTAAAGCCTGGATTTAGGACGCTTGTGTTTTCCTCTTCTTCTCCTTGTATTATCCTTTTAAGCTGTTCTGAAGAGAGACCCCCAGATTTGTTTTATGCTTATTATTTCTTCAAAGTACGTCGAAATACGTCTGCATTCAGAGAACCCCACCGCCACCCCCAAAGGGTTACAAATTTATCAGTTTCAGCTTCATGAAAACGGTCAACTCATGAAACTCACATCAAGGAGTGTCTGGTATTTATACAATCTCTCCCTCTGTGTGTGTGTAGCCCAGTTCATAGATACAGTGGTACCTCGGGTTAAGTACTTAATTCGTTCCGGAGGTCCGTTCTGAACCTGAAACTGTTCTTAACCTGAAGCACCACTTTAGCTAATGGGGCCTCCTGCTGCTGCCGCGCCGCCGGAGCACAATTTCTGTTCTCATCCTGAAGCAAAGTTCTTAACCTGAAGCAATATTTCTGGGTTAGCAGAGTCTGTAACCTGAAGCGTATGCAACCTGAAGCGTATGTAACCCGAGGTACCACTGTAGACTGTAGGATGCAATGCATCTCTTGTAAAAATAACAGAGCTTTCCCTTTACTTCCAAGAACAGAAGATTAAAACACTTAAAACACTTATTCCAATAAAGAGCAATCTGACACCATAGAAATATACTACAATCTTATGCATTTCCCCCCATTAAGTGTGCACTGCAGGGTTTAATTGTCCCTAATAAGGGTTTAATTGTCCCTAATTTCAGCTGGAACTAGATTGTACCCAAAAAAGTGCTGGGTAGTACCCAGATCGCGAAGCACTTTCCAGCCCATTGATTCTAAAGATTTAAGCATGTGCCTCTCTGAAATAAATGGGCCTGGAACTTGGAAGTAGGTTTTCCGTTGAGCTTTCTGTCCTATTTCTTAAGGAGCCCAGCCGTCAGACCACATGCGTCACATCCTGGAAATGCTCGATTTGGCAGACTTGTGGCGTTGAGGATAACGACCTGTTAATGATAATGATAATCATAACGATATCCTCCTGGTTTTGAAAGGCAAGCCCCATTTACAGTAAGCGTGTTTAGGATTACACAATTGACTATTATCAGCATGGAGTGCCAGACTTCTAAAAAGTCTGGAAGGGCAATCCTATGCGTGTTCACTCAGAAGTAAGTCCAACTTTATTCCGTAGGACTGCGCGATTGCAGCCCCCCACACCTTGCGATGGATGTATTATACACGATCGGGTTTGGTTTGATTCTAATACTGGCGTATGACACAAGAGGCGAGTGAAACAATTCGAAGGACCCGTGTTTTCCTTACTTCTCTGATTTAATCGGTTTATTCCGAGGTTTTCTTTCCCAGTTCAATTTCCCAGACGCCAAATCCTATGCTTGCGTGCGTGCGCGTCGGAGAGAGAGAGAGAGAGAGATGCGGGCTTTCCCTCTCTTCCAAGGCAAACTGCGGTCCCACAGGACGATCACCCGGTTGCAAATCACTAGAAAAGGCGAGATGAGCTTTGCCTTGAACGCAGACCTCAGTCTCTTAAACCCTTCAAACCTCTAGGTCGACAGTCTGATTTGAAATCGTAAAATGTATTTGTGGTGCAAAACAGTAGCCATGGAGGTTAGTGAGAAATGTCAGTCAGGGAGACTTGGAAGTAGTTTGGTTTTTTTTATTGCTGTGCCAATTGCAGTCATTTGCTGTTAGGAGTAAGTAGGGTCGCCACCCCGTGCCTTTATTACCCTTTAGTAAATATCATAGTAGAACACGGCTCGGTTCTGGATTACCGACCACCCAACGTGGACTAATGCAAAGCTCTCTAAGCAGATCTCGTGTATTTAGGTATTTTTCGGTTGCGTTCCAAACGCGAGGAGTCTAAGGAGCATTTTGTCTCGCGCAGAGCGCGATTCTAACCCCAATACCACAAAGCAGTTAAGCTATAACAACGTCCTTCTTGGTGCATATAGTAAGTACTTCTTGACGCGTATGGCGAGTCACAGGGACCATTGGCAATCGCCAGCAGCTTTTCCTTGCCCAAATTCACCATCCCTAAGCCCCGCGCAGCAACCCTCCTTCCCCTCCTTTCCCCCCCTTTTTGTATTTAACCGGGAACAATGACAACAACAAAAAGACTATCCTTTCGAATTAGGGTGGGGGGAGCTCTGTCTCCGGGCAAAATGGAACGCGATTTCAGCTGAATATCTTAGTCTGCTCCTAATCGTAATGACCGTTGCAATTGTAATAGTAGCATCTACTACCTGTAGCAAATAATCAAATCTACTGGAGTCTATAGATAAGGAAATCGTTTTTTTATTCCTGGGTACCTTCGGAGCAGAGTTTTATATTGCACAACAAATTAGAACCCATTTTCTCACCCAGTGTCCTCTCCACTGTGTGTGTGTGTGTGTGTGTGTGTGTGTGTGAAGTAGCTTTGTGTGTTCCTTCGTCAACACATGGGTTTCCCTCCTGCTCCTGTTCCTCACACCAGCTGTGCCTTCTCTTCACTACCTAGGCCGCCTGCTCGGGTCTAATCTGGAGATCTGCCAGATCAGGACACCCGCTTAGAAAGAGACCGACCAGCTGCAAAACTTTCCATTTCTATCTTTCTAAAGTTACTTTCCTCCCGAACAGCATAGAGACTCACCCTTTTGACAAAAAGTGGCAGAGGGATGCAGCTTAGCTGTGCTGATGGTTTGGCAGCCCTACATATAAGGCGATGCTGTACTCTAACCTGGAATTTACCGGTGTTAGATGGATTTTGATGAGTAATAAGTTAAATATCCTTCCTCTTCTTACTTGTTT